TCCTTGGTTTGGTCACCGAGAAAGGTGGTATCCTGTGCGGGCGAATTGCACCATTCCTCATATTTCTTCAAATGCTTGTCCGTAGGCGGGATGAAGAAAAAAGTCTTCTTGCCTTTCAAAATATGATAGTAGACGGACGACCCGCCAAAATCAATATGAAAGTCGGTGTAACAGTCGGCCACAGACATCAAGCAGTAGAACTGTACTTTTGGGTAATCTCCCACTGCTTGAAGTTCACGGGGCCAGACTGAATCCTGCAGATCCAGATCACGAACCACTTTTGGTCGTCGGATGAGTCTGCCCAATGGACTCTGTGAGACTTCTAAGCTGATGACATTTCGCACTACTTTGTCACCAGTGCTCTCATAGTAATCAGCCCATTTTTGCATGGTCCATCTCTTGTCCTCTCCTTGTTGAGATTTGACATCGATGACTTCGACTCTCTCTTCGGGTCCGTAGAGCTCGGCCACTTGTCGAACCGTCAAGCCTTGTGGTATCACCATGTCCAGTTGATCCTGGCCGCAGTCTATGACTTGCTCAGGGCTTTGCTCACCCGCATCGAGATGATCTAAGAGTTCATCAAACATCTCTTGCGTGGGCGCTTCCTGCGCTAGTGCGTCCAAGTCCGGAGGTAGCGTCGGGACCGAGTTGCGAGTATTCCACTCGGCAGGGATGACTATCGGTTCTGTCATGCCACTGCCTCTTTCGAAGTACTCGGCCGTGATGAGCTCCGGGCGCATGCGGGGGAAATTCTCAGGGAGGAACCGGATCTTGCCTTGGCGAATAGGTTCAATGTAATGATGTTCTAGTGAGTCTGTTGCAGCTTTGACAAGCCCTTGGTTCAGACCAGCATAGTCGATTGCGGTACGGGCGCGAGATGACTTGCGAACAAATGTCGTCCGTCCATGCGAGGGTCCACAGGCGCGGCAAATGAACTTATCCACAGTCCGCACCTCTCTATCATTTTTGAACCCAGCGCAGACGATATGAAACCAGCGCTTGCAGCCGTCGCAACTAATCCACGTCACATCACCCTGCTCTCCGGTGTCGATTGGTATGCGGACGAGATTACAAGCAGCACAGCTAGCCTGACCTGACTCCTCCGACTCCGTGTCGTCTTCCGTCTTGGGAGGCAGGTCCGTCGGCATCGGTCCTGCATGGGTACTGCGCATAACATCGGCAGCCTGAAGATTGGATTGTGTGCCACTGAAGATGTGTTTATTTGCTGAACCCCAGTGATCATCCTCCGCAACCTCTTCATCCTGCCAGAGTATCGGGGGGAGAGTTGAAGAACTGGTGTTAGGTCGCAAGCCCTGTATTGTTGGTCGCGCAATGGCTGCTGATCCATCGGACTGTGACCTCATTCGAGATGGTGGAAGAGCGCTATTGCTTGAAATATTGTGGGTAGAGATTTCGGTGTGAGCGGCCCATGATCCCACTGCGGACCCAATTCTATCGAAACGCTGTGTTTCACTTCCGGCGTAAAGAGCGTGCTCATCTATGCTGACTCGTTTGGCGGGCTGCATGGTAGGCTGGAAGTTGGGTCGGGCAAAGTTCAATAGAAGCTCTGCATCCGTCTTCATGCTATCAAGCACCGCAGAAGAATTTGCATCGTGCACGGGCAGCGACCGGTGGGAATGGAACGGCGATTGATCTTTTTCTGAGCGCGGTCGCTTGGCGGGACGTTCGGAGGATTCAATGGGTTCGGGAGGGAAAAGCGACAATGCGTGTGTCGAGTTTTGAGAAGGGGGACGGTAGGAGAGAGGTGCGAAGGTAGGGCTGGTGGCTAGAGCGATGGTCGCGAGAGCGTCGATGGTCGAGCTCGATCTGCCATGACTCGGTCGATGAGTAGCGGGATGATCTGCAGCATGATAGCCGGCATGGTTCGGGGGGTATTGGTCACGATCGGAGGCAGCCACCCTGGCGATGCTGCGGTCAATCCATGAGGCTCGGATGTCGGAGGTTGAGCAGGGTGAAATCGGCTCGACGGCGCGTCGCGGAGGTGAGGGAGTGCGGTAACGCGGTGGTCGAGTCCCGAGATGGGTAGAAAAGGATGTTGCACTAATCATAATGAGGCCTGGAAATAGAAAATCGAGCGGGAAAGGAGCGAGAAGAGGCCCGGAGGAGAGAAAAGGTGCTTGCGGCAGACGGGTGCGAAGCGGGGATATTTGACCACACGGGCTAAAGACGGGCCACCGCAGGCAAAGAGAAAGTCATTCCTGGCAGAATGGGAAGCGCACGAGGAATAATGAGATGAATATAGAAGTCCGAATGGGAAGGTTGGTGGAGGAGAAGTGGTGGGGGGAGACGGAGGAGAGAGGAAGTCGACGGAGCAGAGTCGCACGGCGGAGGTTGAGGGGGGAAGTTGAGCGAGCCTCTGCCGACGGGCGGGAGAGAGAGAGAGCGCGCGCGCGCAAGAAAGCAGACGACGGAAGAAAGCTGCACTACAGTAGGGTGCGGAGCGGAGACAGAAAACGGCGAATTCGAGAAATAGAAGATAAAGGAAAATTAGCGATTGAAAAGTTGCGCCTCAAGATAAGGCCGGAGAAGGAGGAGGAAGGAGGAGGGGTTTGGCAAGGGACGATGGGCGGCGATGGAGGCCGAGAGGAGAGGAGAGGGGAGGAGGAGGAGGGAGTCGCCGGACGGAGGAGGACGACAAGGCGCCCGGCGTAGAGACACACAGAGAAAGAGAGTCCTCTGCTCTCTGCCTCAGGCAGTAATCCTACCTACAAAAGTATTGTTGTTGTACTCCTTCCTAGTAATCGTTTGCGGCACCAGAATATGACTATAGAGTATTTTAACACAATACAAATTGGTTATATCCTAACTCTGAAGCCAAACAAAGATCCTATTGCATCTTTTCTATTGTTATGAGAGCTGTAGGAAGTGAACTATCATCAACTCCCATTAAAAGTGAGGCTCCTCCTCCGAGGCGACTAATCCCGATCAGGCAAGGCAGCCCAGTCTCCCGAACCTCGTGCTCATCGCGGATATTGCTTCCCTCTCTCTTGCTCCTCTCTTGCCTACTTCCTCTCTCCTCCTTCTCATATAGCTTCCTCCAGACCCACGTTGGGTATCTGACTCGACCTTGATTCCTTCTTTCACGTCTTTCTACAGCATCTACTGTCCCACCCGAGAATGAGCCGGAAGCTCGCCCCCGAAGCCAATCGGTAGGTTCTGTTCGAACAATTCTACCCCTCCCCTTCCGGTAGCCCGCCATAGTCTCCCGCTGCGCTCTTGGGCTTCAGGGGCCTTGGGCATGCGTTCTTGTATCTATCGGAAGGTTGGATCTGGTTGAAACTCTGACTAACGGGCCTCCAGGATTCTCTTTGTCAAGAACCTCAAGTATGCCTTTCCTCGCACTCGGAATTCCTAGAGCCCGCCTGTCGATCGTCGCATCGCCATTCAAACGGATATATTCCGCGACATATGATATCGTCAATCACGACATGAATGCTAACGATTTGGGTTTTTGTCTAGCTACAACGTAACAGCGGAGCAACTCTTCGACCTCTTTGGCAAATTCGGTCCCATCCGGTAGGCCTCTCCTTGACTCACGCGCCATCGTCTAAATTAGCGTCAACTCCGCAACTAACGCTGTCTCCGGCAGACAAATACGTCAGGGAATCGCAAACAACTCCAAGGGCACTGCCTTTGTGGTATACGAGGACGTTCACGACGCCAAACAGGCATGCGATAAGCTCAATGGCTTCAATTTCCAGAACAGATATCTCGTTGGTACGTTTTCTCCGTGCGGTGGGAACTCGGAACGGTCATCGGACGAGAAGGATTGCGCGGCTGACATTCGCTGCTCCGACTTCTAGTTCTATACCATCAGCCTGAAAAAATGCTTAAATCGAAAGAGGACCTGGCGGAAAGGCAAGAGAATTTGGAACGTCTCAAACAGCAGCATGGTATAGAATGACGTGATGATATGCTTTTTTTATCGCTTTCTCCGCATGCCCTTTGCCGGCAGCTGGTTGCGTGTTCACATGGGTTGGTTGTGGGGTTTTCGGCGTTTATTGTTCTCCTGTGGGTTTGATGATCGCTCTTATTCATTCATGGGTCTGAAAGGGTTGCCGGCGGGTAGAATGAATTAAACTCTGGCTTGGCTGAAGTCCGGAGTAGAAAGTGGTACAGAATGGGTTATTTCAGGCTGGGATCAATTCCGATGCACCGGCTAGTCACTGCTATCAATATAATCATTTCGATTGCCGGCCACTTGCGGCTGTTGCGGCAAACCTATGGAATGCGGCGTGCAGACGTCATTGTTATGTGTGAAGTTTGTAGCAATAATACCACCGTACTGTATCTACCTGGGACGTTTGAATGGATAGAGGTTTGTGCAGCTGAGGCCCTGGGGGCCCTAGGACCCCAGAATGCTTAGTCCATGTCTCCACGATCGCCCACCGGCTGCATCATACGTTGTCAGTGGATCAGCCCGGTGAAGATCATGTAGTTGTATGCCTAGTGGTCCCTGCTTCCCCCTGAGCGGCCTGCGTAAGGCTAGCCAACTAGTGCGATAGCTTATATTCTTGCCAGTTTCGCCTCAACTAGAGCTAGTCATAACATCCACTTGCGAGTGGTTGGTTGCGGTGACATAGTGCAATCGTAGGCAAGGATTCTATATCTTTTTCAATCTGCACTACACCGAATATACAACCTAAAGCACTAGCTTGGGCCATACGCATGTATAGTACAGTACGGGAATTCGGACCTCAAGCTATATCCAGGAGGAAGACGGTGTCGAATTGATGCATGCTCGGAGGCTGGAATCCTTTGAATACAGAGGTAGCCACTTGACCCAGTCTTTGAATGATCCCACCCCATCGTGGCTGTTTGAACACCTTTTTATTAGGTACCTAGTAAAGTACTGTTCAGTACTCGCATGAGAACCCAAGCCCCTACTATGCAAGTTAGTTAACTAACTTAGCGCTAAAGTCCAGAACTAAGGCGTGGCTGCCGCCTTTGGTGCCTTAAATATCAGGCACTAAGATTTCCCCTTCGGTTCTAGACTCCTCCGTCCCAATTAATCTGCCGGCCCCACCGCCGCGACCGCCCTCCAAAGATTTTCTTTTCCGCAGCCCGGAAAGCCCACCTGCATGAAGATTGAAACCTCAACCACCACCTTTTCCTCCTTCACCTTCTCTCCAGCATCTCGACCTGCACCGCGGCAGTGATCCTTTGCGTGAGCCTGCTTCTTTGAAATCTCTCACGACATCTTCCGTCATTTTTTTTTTGATCTTCCCCATCTATCACCATGGCTGATACCTCTGCTGGTAAGAACGCATCCCCATCTTTCCAAGCCAGAAGAGAAAAATTTCGATATACTGACGATAATCCAGCCTGGCCCTTGGCCGACGAGAGCCTGACTCAGAGCCTTCTGGACCTTGTCCAGCAGGCCTCCCACTACCGCCAGCTCAAGAAGGGAGCCAACGAGGGTAAGCATCTCCCAATCGCGCCTACATCTTTTCTTCAAACTTGAACTAACCCAACCCTTCCCCCCCATAACAGCCACCAAGACCCTCAACCGCGGTACCGCCGAACTGGTCATCCTCGCCGCCGATACCTCCCCGCTCGCCATCGTCATGCACATCCCCCTTCTGGCCGAGGACAAGAACTGCGTCTACGTCTTCGTTCCCAGCAAGCTCGCTCTCGGCCGTGCCTGCGGTGTCTCCCGCCCCGTCATCGCCGCCAGCATCACCACCAACGAGGCCAGTGACCTGATGGGCCAGATCCGCACCCTCAAGGACAAGGTCGAGAGACTCATGCTGTAAACTAGCGGGGCCAATCCTTTTTTTTTGTTCTGTGTGGTGGGCTGGTGAAAACGACGAACACACGCCATTCAGTCGTTATGTTTGTTCCAACGGGGAATTGATTTCCATGTCTCCTCCCCCATCTCTTCGGTATGCGTGCAGGAGCTAGCTGGTTTTGCGGGTAGGCTGGGAGGAGGGGGGGGGAGAGAAACTGGCTGGGACTGGTTGAGATGGGTGTTTTACTTAGTGGATTGGGGGTAGATTGCGATTTGCTTTTTTTCCTTGGCAATTTTGCTCTCTGAACCCTTTTTCGAGTAGAACCCATGGACCCCCCCCCCCTCCTCCGCTTTTGCTTGGGCCTAGACAGTTTATTGGCTTAAATGTCAAATCCCACGATGTTCGCTTGGCTTGTGACAAGATGTGTTGATTTGTTCTGGGTAGAAATTGTTTTAAGGCTGGGTTTCCAAACCGCCACGTGCGTAGACCAGTCTATCGACCAAACCATATTTGCTGTCCGTCACAGTCGTGCTATCAAGCCAGCCAACCCAGCAAGGCCTCGAGCTCACCAAAGAACCAAGAAGTCATCGGCTTACGAGGAGTACAGGGGGTATTTCTTGTTGCTATTAATGCATTTGTATTGGAATGTCCCCTCACTCACTCCTTCACTTCGGTAAATGGTCTCATTCCTGAATTCGCACCCTTGTCGAATGTGCTTCAATCCACACATAGATCGCGATAAGATGATGTACAGATATAAGTCTCCGTAAGGAGGAGAAAAAGCGATTGCAGGTGAAATCCAGAACAATGAAATACGTCCATCCACCACTCTATCGCAAATCCCACCTTAATAAACACAAAATAAGAGCAGGCTCCATGGGAATCATGCGGTGCATCAATATGTACCGATACAGGAAGGAACAAAGTCACAAACCAGACAGCCTCCAAAAATACAGCCGTCATGAAAAGAACGTCAAAACAGATCAAGGCTCATTAAGGTTACTTTTGGTGTCAATCCGGCCGGGGTATGGTACTGAGGAAAAGCAGAAATAGCAGACAAGCAATAAACATCTCGAAGTATGCAGTATGGGCCATGACTCCGACAACCATTCAATCATCATGCACAAATCAGATGCACGGAAGAAACTGGTGGAGTATTAGCATATAATCCAAAGTTAGATCGAGGTTAGGTAAACTCACGTTCATCACAATCAGCATTGGAATGTCGAATACGTCGCGCTTTACTGTCCAGCAGTAGGCGCAGTCAACCTTGCCATCCTTGAACCCCAGCTGATTCATTCCGGCCTCGCTAGCGATTCCACCCTTACGCAGGTGATTGTTCCATCGTTGGTTATCTTCTGATGCCAACTCCATATCCTCTTTCGTCTTGTACTTTAACAATTTGCATGTCCGCATCACACTGCCACGGGAGTCTCCGAACGCCAAGCGGGCAAAATCTTCGTAAAATTGCACCACGCTGTCATCATCCAGTAATTCGGCAAGAAAGACGGGGTGCGGCCGCCCTGGGGTTTGATTCTCGCCCGCAGACCCGCGCGGAGTGAAACTGCGGGAGGAGGCCCCTGAGCTTGGAACTGATGTGCCCCCCGTATTCACATTTAGATTTGGCTCCTTGCCCAGAAGCACATCCTTCTTCCACCCGGTCAGAATACTGAACTCCTTGCCCACCGCGGCAATCTCACCCGTTCGACGGCAGACAATCGTAGGCGTTCCGCAAGCGTTGATAAAGTCCTCGTACTCCCACAGGGTCCGCTGAAAGCACTTCTCCATGAAAATGAGATCGTCTCTGTTTAACGTCTTTGTTGTCGCGATGAACGAGGGTCGAATTGATGCCAGCGCCTTGGCGATTTGTAAGGTCTTCTGGGGAGGAAATCTCCGTTGAATGAAGGCAGTGAGATTGTGGAAGCGACTAGTATATGCGTAAGGCTCCTTTACACTCTCGTAGATCGAGGATGGATTCCTTTGTCGCCGGCGCACTCCCACATGCAGACTCTGGTGCTTCAGACTGGGTGTCGTGATGGCGGGTCGTTGATTGGTTGGAACCAGGCCATTCGCCTTACTGGCAACAGCGGCGCTAAACGGAGACTCTTCGAAGCCGCTCGTCATTTGAGGACTATTTGTTGCGCCAGGGCTGTTGAAATGGCCCGGGCCGCTTTCGATCGCAAACGCATGAGGCGCATCGGCTTTGGATAAGTGTCCGGGTATCACGTTCCCTTGACTAGACTGAGGATAGACGCTGGGAACATTAACATGCGCCTGGCCCGGAGCCTGGCTGCTCGGCCATTCGTTTAATAGCGGGTCACCGAACATGAACGGCTGCTGGTTGCCGGGACTTTCCCCGAACCCCGGCCCTCCGGTGATTGGAGTCGACGCAAACTGGGCAGAGCCACTGCGACCCATAGAACCGCGCTGCGTGGCTGAATCACTAGGCGAATCGCCAGCACCTGTCGCCATGTGTCCCAGCATACCAAACTCCAGCGCACCGTACCGGTTTTCGAAGTTCATGCTAGAAAGATCAAAGTTGAATAAGGCGGGGTCACTGGGATCGAAGAATGGACCGGCGAACGGGTTGGGGTTCTGGGTAGGCGGACCCGAAGCACTCGTGGTCGTTGGCTGTTGATTAACTGACGGAAGGCTGCTGTTTCGAACGGTAGGAGTGGCCTTCAGATTGTAGGACGGTGAGACGGGCGACTGCGATGGGAACGAGGCCTGGTTCATTGGGTTCTCTTGGTAGACATTGTAGGACGTGGATTGGGGAGTTGGATAAAAGTTGGCTCCAGAATTCGGCGGCGCGGCCGCGTTGACGGCGTTGGCGCCGTTTCTGGACAACGGCAAACTATTATTGCGCAGGGGATTGTTGTAGAAGTTTCCACCGATACCCGGCATCAAGGCTCCGTCGGGTGCATCATGGAGGTACTTCGCCTTTTTCCGGACCCCATCCTGACACGCATCTTGCAACCCACGCTTGATACACCGCTGACAGGGTCTTTCATCACCTGTGCGCAAAAAGCTCAATTAGTGGCACGTCCTTAATCCAGCTACACATTCGCTATTCCGCGACGTGTCACTCAGGAAGCGCGAATTAGAGCGCCTGAGTAGCTAGATACGAAGAAAAGCACGAGAATGTCCAATGCAAGAGGGGAGGAGAAAAGGAAAGCTAAAGACAAGGTCAGTCATACCGCAAGTCAAATGCGCCCGCTGGCAAGCGAAACAAGCCCTGCGCGCCTTTTTCCTCCGCGGCCTCGACGGGTCCTTTGCATTGGCTGCCTTTTGCCCAAGCGACACGACGCCTTTGTCCTTCTCGTCGCCGTTCACCTCCGTCTTGGGGGTTTCCGACTGCTCATCGGCCGACCTGATGTCGTGATTGGGTCCAGTCGGCTCTACCGAAGGAGCTGGGGAGCTCTTCTCCTTGGCGTCCACGTCCATTTCGGCATGAATAGCCCAACGGAGCGGTGACTCGGTAAGTCGGTTTAGAGTGAGAGCCGAGTTGCGCACGTGCAGTTTCCTGTCGAAAGGAGGCTTTGCCACCTCAAAGTTCAAACCTGAGCGATATAGCCGAGGATGAATCACAACCTCAGCGTCACGGTGTTTCCCCTTTCGAGTACGATCTCTCGGGCGTCCTCCAGAGAATTAATCTGGAAAGAGCAGGTATGTGGTTGTTTCGTGGTTTAGGCGCATGAAATCCAAGCACAAGCGGTGTATATTCAACAATAAGGTCGAAGTGCGAGAACGGAACGAAGAGCGGAATCGGCCGCAAAACGGAGGGTTGTGGAGGACGGACGGGCGGAGGAGAGGAGAGCTGAAGGGAGCTTTGCGTGCGGGACCGAGGGTAAGATGACGAGGTGGTCTGCAACTCGATCGAGGAGGGTCAAATGCGACGAGAGTATTGAGATTGCAGTGTAGGACTAAGATCCTAACAATAATTTCACAGTCACGCGAGCGACAATTCGAAGGGGGTGGGAGAGGATCGTTAATTCGTAATTGTGGTAGGGTAAGTTGAAGTGGAGAGCAAAGACAGGGCTCAATTTGTTAAGGCTGCGGGGAAAACCCAAGAGCAGGCGCGCATTAAGAGTCGGTCGGGGAGGAGTTATAAGGCACCGAACCCGGGGGGAGGAGGAGGAGGGGAGGAGAGAGGGGAGAGAGGGGGTTTGCAACAGGAGGGGTAAAAGACTCAAGAGGGGGGAGAGGAGAGCAGTAGAAGGAGAAAACGCGGGGGTGAGAAAGTCAGAAAACAAGAAGAAGTGGTGAGTTAGCGACAGAAATGAGGGAATTGACAGAAAAAAGAAACAAGGGAAAAACCGACAGACACGAGGGCGTCAAGGATGCTGCGATCGAAGCGTCGGTTGGTTGGAGTTTCGGTACGCTTACCGTACCAGATTTAGATACCAGACACTTCTGCATGCATGCATGCAAGCAATCTGTCTATCAGACTGTCGCGTGTCGCTCAACTCTCACCGATCTTTAGATGAAAAGGATGTTGTTGCGGTCTGTTTCGAGGATGAAGCCAAAGTAGTTGCATGCTCAGGGGCTTGGGATTGTGAGAGCTGTCCAGCCTTGTGAAAATGTGCAGATGTCAAGATTTGAAAATGGCTGTCGCATGTGACACTCGAGGAAGACATCATCACTCTCCAACAACAAACTATATCTAGTACTCGAGATACGGATCTGATCTCCCGTGTTGCACCGCTACTATTCCATGATCGTTCGAAAAGAAACATTCAATAGATGAAAGAGCTCGACACTTCTATAGGTAAGGTACTAGGGTACCTAGTAGTACAGTAAGTACACTCTGAACTACATGTTACCATCCCAATCTCCCAATTGAAGCAAATATTCCTCATTGCTGACCTGACTATACAATTATCTGAGTCATTGGAGCGTCCCTCGCAGCTTCCTCGAAATTTTACCGGTTCATCACCGCCTGTACCATACGTTACCTGAGTATAAATATCCTCCGTTCCTCTGCATTCCTGTGGGCTTTAGTATCAGAATTCTCCCACGTGTAAGCCTCTT